ATCATCATCACCATCATCCATCATCATCACCATCATCATCATCATCACCATCATCATCATCATCATCACCATCATCATCACCATCATCATCATCATCACCATCATCATCACCATCATCACCATCATCCTCATCCCTCCTCCCCTCCCCGTCCTCCCCGTCCCCCCTCACCTCACACGAGCCTCCGACCCCCGCGCGGGGCCCCCTTTCCGCCGCCTTGGCCTCCTCCTCCAGGGAGTCCTCCGCCCCGGGGGGACTGGAATCGCCGTCCTCCTCCTCCTCCCCGCCGCCGCCGCGATCCCCGTCCTCCCCGGCCAGCAGGATGGAGGACCTGGTCTGCACGGGGACCTGGCTGGGATCGAACCTCCGGAGGTGGGGGAGGCGGTCCACGTCGCGGGGGGCGGCCAGCACGCGGGTCAGCGGGGGGGGCGGCCTCGGCTCCGCGGCTCTCCGTGCTCCCGCTGCTCCTCCTCCTCCTCCTCCTCCTCCTCCCCCGACGGCCGCCGCCGCGGCCCGACGGGCCGGGCTGGGCGACGCCGCCGAGGAGGAGGAGGAGGGCGGGGCCTTGGCGGCGGGGAGGACGGCGCCGTGGCGGTGGCCGCCGGATGGGGAGCACGGCGGCACGGGGATCACCCAGGCGGTGGGCGGGGCCGCGGCGGCCGCCGCCGAGGGGCCGAGCAGACGCTGCTGCTGCTCCGCCAGGCGCTGCATGTCGCGCCGCAGCGAGCCCAGGGCGGCGCCCAGGCGCCTCACGGCGCGCTCGTAGTCCTCCTCCTCCTCCCCCAAGTCCTCCCCCAAGTCCTCCCTCGCTCCGTGCTCCCCGCACGGGGCGGACGCGGTCGGCGGCGGGTCCGGCGCGGGGGCGACGCGGCCGGCGCGGGTGCGCCTCGCGGCCCGCTCGCAGTCCTCCTCCTCCCCCTCCCCCTCCTCCCCCTCCCCCAAGTCCTCCTCTTCGCGGCGGTGCTCCCCCGGCGGGGCGGACCCGTCGGGCGCGAAGGTGACGCTCCTGGGCCGCGCCTGGCCCTCCCCGGCGGGGCGCTCCAGCGCCTCCTCCCTCGGCGGCTCCTCCTCCTCCTCCCGCTCCCCGTCCTCCCGCTCCCCGTGCTCCCCGCGCTGCAGCCGCAGGAAGGCGCTGCGGCCCAGGCGCTGGCGGTGGCGCTCGAACACGGCCTCGATGCGGCGCTTCTGGGCCTCGATGGCGCGACGCTTCTCCTCCAGGCGGGCGCCCAGCTCGGCCGCCGCGTCGGGCGGGGAGGACGGCGGCGGCGGCGGCGGCGGGGGGGGGGGCGGGGGGGGGGAGCACGGGGAGGAGGAGGAGGAGGGGGAGGCCCCGGCCGTGGCCGAGGCCACCGCCAGCTGCCTCTTGCGCTCGGCGAAGCTGGTCATCCTCACGTCGGGGGGCGCCGGGGAGGACGGCGGCGGGGGGGAGCACGGGCGCGGGGAGCACGGCTTGGCCCGCCCCTCGGGCGCGTGGAGGTAGAAGCCGCCGTCGGCCGCGCCGTCGGGGAGGAGGCGGGGCTCGGCGCTGTGGATGATGTGCAGGGCCTCCTCCAGGCTGGGCGGGGAGCACGGCGGCGGCGGGGAGCACGGCGGCGGCGGCGGGAGGGAGCACCGCGGCGCCAGGCTGTCGGAGCTGGCCGAGCGCGCCGGGGGAGGTTGCGGTCGCCGTGCTCCCCCCCCCCC